GCTTCCATCCTTCCATTCAGCCATCATCCATCCTGATATCCATCTTGATGTCCATCCTAATGTTTGTTCTGACATCCATCCGGACATCCTGACATCCATCCTGATGGAGCAGATACAACCCACCCACCCACTCATCCATCCATCCATCTGTCTGTTCTGATATCCACCCTGACATCTATCAACCCATCCATCCTGACATCCACCCATCCATCCTGACATCCATTCATCTATCTTGACATCCATCCTGACATCCATTCTGACATTTGTCCATCCCTCCCTCCCTCCGTCTCACACCTCACTATGGAGAAAACACCTCCCAAGCGTTCCCTTTTGGGGTATGACCACCCCAGAGCAATCCTTGTGCTCTCCAGGCCCATCCCAAGTCCACCAGCTCCAGAGCCTCCATGTCTCCAGCACCCACTGCTCCTGGGACAACCACCACCACCTCTTGGGGCTCCTCAGCACTCCTGGGAGGCCACCACCCCCCTTTAGGGTCCTCAGGACCTCTCGAGAGCCACCACCACCCTTTGAAGGTCTCCAGGACCTCTGTGCAGCCACACCCACCCTTGGGGGTCCCTGGGGCCTCACCTACGGTGATGGTGTCCAACATCTTCTTCCAGATGTCGTACTGCAGCGATCCCAAGTACTTGGCCACATTCAGGAGCATTCCTGAGGGAACAGCCTCCGGCTCCTCAGCTGTGCAGGCGATCCTGGGGCAGGGAGAAGGCATGGAGGGAGGGATGGGGATGGAGCTCCTGGCACCACATCCATCCATCCATCCATCCATCCATCCATCCATCCATCCATCCATCCTTCTATCCATGAAGGACCCCAAGAGCTCCATGCCACCACCCAGGGGACATGGTGGGACCCCAAGAGCTCCATGCCACCACCTAGAGGACATGGTGGGACCCCAAGAGGTCTGTGTCATAGTGGGACCCCAAGACCTCTACGACACCACCCAGGGGACACTGTGGGACCCCAAGACCACCATGTCACCACCCAAGGGACATGATGGGATCCCAAGATCTCTGTGTCATGGTGGGACCCCAAGAGCTCCATGTCACCTCCCAGGGAAAATGTTGGGACCCCAAGACCTCCATGCCACCACCCAGAGGACCTGGTGGCCCCACGACCTACCTGCGCTTGCGGTTCTTGTGGGTCTAGAGGAGAAAAGAGGAGACACCAACCATCAGCTCCAGCTTCTCCCAGGGGTTCCACCACCCGGAGGAGGAGGCAGGAAGGTGTCACATCCAGGGGGACACCCCAGGGGATGGAGCAGTGCTCCAGAAGGCAGTTACCATGAGGAAGGTGTAATCATCCTCCCTGAGGTCCTCCTGGAGCTGCGTGGCCTCATTGAGCAGAGCCTGAGTGTCCCGTTCCAGCTGCTCCACCTTGCCCTGGATGAAGTCCTGCTTGCTCTGGATCTCCTCATGCAGCTGGGACATCATTGCCTTCTCCTCTGCATACAGGAACTGGTGGAGCTTCTCAAACTCCTTCTTCACCTGATTCTCCAGCTGCACTGCTTCCACCTGGGACACACACAGCATCAGCACCTCCTCCTGGAGCATCCCAACTCCCCTGGGCTCTCCAAAGCCATGGACAGGTTCTTCCTCCTACTACCACCCATCTCCAAACCCAGAGCCAGGTCCTTCCTGTCCTCAGCATTGCTCCCAAATCTCATCCAGGTACTTCCTCCCCATGCAAGTTCTTCCTCCCCATCCAGGTCTTTCCTCCCCATCCAGGTCCTTCCTGTCCTCAGCATGGCTCCCAAATCCCATCCAAGTCCAGTGGGATCAGTTCCACTTCCAGGAGGGACCACACACATATTGGGATCAATCCCAGTGCCAAGAGGGATCCCACATATGTTGGGATCAATCCCAGTGCCAAGGGTGATCCCACACGTGTTGGGATCAATCCCAGTGCCAGGAGGAATCCCACAGGTGTTGGGATCATTCCCACTGCCAGGAGGAATCCCACAGGTGTTGGGATCATTCCCACTGCTAGGAGGGATCACAAGTGCTGGGATTTGGGATCAACCCCACTGCCAGGAAGGATCCCACACGTTGCGATCATTTCCACTTCCAGAAGGGATCACAGATGTTAGGATCAATCCCAGTGCCAAGAAGGATCCCACAGGTGTTAGGATTTGGGACCAATCCCAGTGCCAGGAGCAATCACACATGTGTTGGGATTGATCTCACTTCCAAGGAGGATCCCACCCATGCTGGGATCAATCCCAGTGCCAGGAGGGCCCCCGAGGTGCTGGGATGATTCCCAGCTCCTGCTGGGCCCACGGACCTGGTTGTGCTTAGCGATGGACTCATAGGAACGACGCACAGAGCTGAAATCCTTGGCCTTATCCCTCAGGGATGTTTCCATGTTCATCAGCTTGGCCTGCACGGAAGACACCCTCAGCACCACCCCAAGCCTATTCCCAGGATTTCTGGGAGAAACAAGAGCCCCAGACCCAGTGGGATGAGTATCCTAGCTCTATTCAACCTTCCCCCCCTGGAATCAGCTGTGCCATTTCAGCCCTGAGCAGGAAGGAAGAGGGCCTTATCCCTCAGGGATGTTTCCATGTTCATCAGCTTGGCCTGCACGGAAGACACCCTCAGCACCACCCCAAGCCTATTCCCAGGATTTCTGGGAGAAACAAGAGCCCCAGACCCAGTGGGATGAGTATCCTAGCTCTATTCAACCTTCCCCCCCTGGAATCAGCTGTGCCATTTCAGCCCTGAGCAGGAAGGAAGAGGAGCTTTGATCCATAGGGAATGCTCTGTTATTCCAGGCCTGAGAGGAAGGGAAGGGAAGCTTTGATCCATAGGGAATGCTCTGTTATTCCAGGCCTGAGCAGGGAGGAAGGGAAGCTTTGATCCATAGGGAATGCTCTGTTATTCCAGCCCTGAGCAGGGAGGAAGAGGAGCTTTGATCCATCGGGAATGATCCTTTTCCCTATTGTTTTTAGGTGTGTCCTGGTGTTCCCAGGGATACTTGGCATTGCCAAGCCCCAGGGCTATCCCATCCCAGCTGAAATCTTGGCTCATCCCTATGGATGAGTCAGAGCAGCAACGGCTCTTTTCCCAGCTGGAAAACATGGCATGTCCTGGCGTCATTCCTGGAGCTCACTCCTCCTCCTCCTGCTCCTCCTCCGCCCCGTGGAGCCCCAGGGATACCTCTCCATCCCTTCTCCCTCCCTGTCTAGGGAATTGTGCAAGCCCAAATCCCACTCTCAGCCCCAAAGCAATCCCGCAGTAACCAGCCTGGCTGGATCCAGCTCAGGATCCAAGGAAGCACAAAGCCACTCTCCAAGCCCTTGGGAGCATCATCCCACTGCCCTTTCCCGAGGGATGGGATGGCATTAGCTAAGTAGAAGGCAGGAGAGAGTGGGGACATTCCCATGGGGATCCAGCCTGGCAGTCTGGCTGCTTCCGCCCATATCCACAACCCAATCCCACCTCCCATGTCCCATATCCTACATCCACATCCCAATCCCACCTCCCATACCCCATATCCTACATCCACACCCCACATCCCAATCCCACCTCCCATATCCCACATCCACACCCCACACCCC